AGTCTGCATTCAGGCTGTTGCCTTCCCAGCTACATCTTTTAGACTTTACATCGGCAGATTTTTCTTTACTTCCTATGTTAAAATAGGGACAGTAACAGTAACTCTATCCAAAGGTTGTTTTCAAGACTAAAAATAATGAAGCAACCCAATACATTGTCTAATAACCTTAAAACAAATCACACTTAGTTTTTTTTTTTTTGCTGTCCAAAATAATAAAATTAATGAAAGTGTTTATTATGCACCAGGAACTTAGAATGATGGGTAGTGACACTTGTAAGTATCAGTGGCTGTCACTCAGCATCATCATCACTAAATACTGAAGGGGAGGTGACAGATCTGGAAGGCAAAGCGGGGAATCCCTACTTGCTGAAGGCGTCGCGGACACTTAGAAGTCAACCTGATATGACAGAAACATGAGCTGTAAGCTCCTATTATTACCTCTGACTTTTAGTTGCCACTGGATATGGGGCAGAATACTGAGAAGGGCAAGATAAATCACTCATCGAGAGGCAGCCCCCACCTAAAATAAGAAGCAGTTGAGGGAAGAGCCTTAATTGAGCCCTTTGATGTCTGCAGCAAACAGACAAGGAGCCTGGAAGGAGACTAGGGCCACCCCTCAAAGACAGACAGGTTCCAAATGTGGCAAAGATGGGAAAACAGAACTGCAAACTTCCCTACAGCTGGGGATGATGTAAAGAAAACAAAACTCAAATATATGCTGCTGTATCCCAAAGAGATTCAGAAAGTTCTAGGGTCTCATAAACCATTCTTTGAGCATTGCAAATCCATTCATTTCAGAGTCATGATAAAATAAATTGCTATGATTTATTTATCTTACTTGGCCAGTCCAAAATGGACAGTACTCGGAGTTGAACATACTTGCCACTAAAACATTTATCTCTGTGTATTTCCACCCTTAATGGGGACATTTCTGAGAACTGAGCTAAATTTTCAGTCATACTTATAGCCATAAAATGAGGGGGCAATGTCCATTAGTATTTGTTCAGGATCCTTAGACCCTTAACTTTCAAAGAGGACAGAAAGACTCCAAAACTGCCACATGCTTAAGTAAGAGCTGCTAGTCTTGGACTGGTGCCAGGCAATGCTGGCTATTCTTTATACATTTTATGTCCAAATTTCCACATTTAAAGTTCTGTTCTCACTCTATATACAGAGGAAACCAGGCACAAAGGAGAGAATAGCTGAGCATCTCCTGAAGCAGTCAGCTTCTTATCAACCCAAATTGATCATGAAGGGCAGAGGGCACCTTCCCTGTGGAATCTAACTTTCCTCCTTTCATTCTCCCAAACTCCTTCTTTGAAAGAAAATTATGTGTGTGGGGGTGTGCAAATGTGCGTGCACATGTGTGTGCAACAGATCACACGAAAGCCAACGCTCAGCATCAGGTGTCTTCCCTTGATCTCTCTCCACCTTTATTTTGTGAGTCTCTCAATGACCGGGAAGCCCATCGATGAGTCTAGATTGGCTGGCCAATGTGCTTCTGTGGTCTGCCTTTCCGTTCCCCCAGTGCTGGCACTGTCGCTATGTATCTCCACTCCTGGCTTTCCAGTGGATGCTGATGCTCGGGATCAGCTGAGTCATCTTCCCCATCCCCAAGGTGCTTCTGGGAAAGTTGACTGCTGTGCCATAAGGGAACTAGGGCCTGCACTGCCACCACGTGTCTTGGAGGACCACCAGCCAGGGTGAGTCTTTCCTCATCGCTGCTCCCAACTCTTCTTTCTCTCCCCATAGAGTCACACCCACAAAACAAACACTGAACTAAGGGAGCCCTTCTCTTTAGTCTGACTCGAAGGGAAAGAAACAAACCATTTTGTAAAAGTAGAAAATGGAACACTGCTTGCTAAGCAAGGTATGATGTGTGTAAGACACCAAAGACAATGGCATCTACCTGCTCCAAGAAGTGGATAGCACTGCTTTGACTTCTTTCTGCTCATCTCCAAACTTGTAGCAATTGTATGGAGGAACCAAGTACTTTTAGGATAAACCAAACATTTTTAAAAGTATTAATGCTGCTTGAAATTTTGAAAGTACGAATTGTGTAAGTGCGGCTGGCAGAAGTGACTTGAGTTAAAGTCAGAGGGCGCTGTTCAAAAAGGAAAATGTTATTTACCGATGCAGAGGTTGACAGAAATGGAGCAGGGAAGGAAGATGAAAGTTAGGGAGTTAAGCATCAATTCTAGCTGGCAAGGCCAGGCTGGTTTCCCCTGGATCAACCTTCTGCACTTGACTAGGGCAACACTGTATTGGTCTGAAGGAAAGACTCACCTTCAATTTTAGAGTGGTAGAACGCGTTTAGAAAGAAAAAAAAAAATCTTCCAAGACCTGGATTGAAATTAATTATTTTAAAGCAGGGTGACTCACAAAGTATCTTTCCATATAAGTGACTGAGAGAGAGTGGTCAGCAGTTCAGCAGCCTTGCGCAAGGCTGTGAAGTCCTGCTGGGACAGCCTGTGAATCATAGCCATCAGTGACATCCTACAGGGCCGATACAGACAGGCAACAGACTGTTTGCTATTGCAATGCATTAGAAAGTAATTGCAAACATGTGTTCTTCGTCTACACCAAGTTCGCTTTATAAATGTTGGCTGATGACCCTGGCTAACATGGAGATTTGTTTACTGGGGGATTTACTGTATTAATGCTAATTAATATTAATTTTAAGAATGGCTGCATTCAGAAGGAAATATCCCAAATTATAGAACTTGTCACGATAATTACTTTGAACTGAAAGAAAGTAGAAGAGCCACGAAATCAATGCTTTTCTGACTTTCTCCCATCCTTACCTGCTCCTTTTCTCTACAAACAACCAGACCAGTGTCCCCATTCCCAAAGGCAAGGCAGAGAAGCTGGAATGCCTCTTCCACAAAGCAAGCCATAAAACTCCTTTGATGGCACCCAAGCCTGCTGAGCAGAGAGGCAAAGGTGCATCTGGACAGACAGGTTCCCTGACTTCCTCACCACACCCTTTGTCCAGCATTGCTGTAATCTGTCCATTATTTATCAAACTTAAAAAAAAAAATAGAGACCTGTTCTTAGATTTCTATGTGGTTTTCCTGATGGCCCCAGTGCCAGCTAACACTGCATGAAATCCCTACACTTTTCTGTTGTGGACCTTTCTTTTGTTATAGACCTATCAGCCACAAGTGCTGTGATGAGTGGAGAGAGACATCATATCTGGCTGCCTTTACAATGAGTAAAAGGACCATAGGAAAAAGAAACTATGGGATAATGCTTATTGCTGTTTTAAGGTTCAGAATCCATTTGGTTAGTATTCTTCCTTCAGTTAGAAAAGTCTGGGCCATTTATGAAAATGTTATCTTTTAAAGATAATCCTACTCTTATATTTTGGGGTTATAAATTATAAATGTACTGCCTCCTGTCAACATTGTATACTTCTATTTGATGATTTCTGTGTCAAACATTATATGGAAATGTTTCCAAGTATTTTCTGTATTAACTGTGAATGAATAGAACAAAATAAATTGCCTGTGATGGAAAATAAATAAATAAATAAATAAATTAATTAATTAAAAAATAATAATAATATTGAAAAAAAAAAAAGATAATCCTACTCATAGAGAAGTGAGAAGTAGCAACTGCGGCTATGATGTGGGAAACTGTGAATTATCCATATTTGCTTAACTAATTCCTATGGATGTTTTAAAATTGTTTAATAATTATTTTTTCTTTCTCTGTTCTCTTTCCTACCCATCCTATTCTTTTGCACTGAGGTATCTGAAGATAGTTTATGAGGACAGGTGAAGAAGATGAGAGAAGCTATGGAAAAGAGAAATACTAAATGCTAGCAACAAATTGTGTGCTTAATTGATATATACTTACAGCAATTCTACATTATATATGTCTATTATTATATATTTATCAATTATATAACACACACACACACACACACACACACACACACACACACGTATATTACCCAAGTATATGGGCATATTTTTTTTCACCTGGAGCAATAAATATCTTGCACTTTGAGCTGTTATCAGAGTTAAAACAAACAAAATATTAAATCATGTCATCCATATACTAACTTATAGGAAGGGCCAAAATTGCCTTCTGTATAACTAAAGAGCCATTCAATGTCTCTCCGTTTAAATTAATCAAACTATCTACTTTCGTCTTTGTCTTTCTTCTTTATTTCATAATGTCTTATTCCATTGACATTATCTGTTCCACTAAGACGACTTCAGCTTCTTCAAGGCACTGAGGAGTTCTGAGTGCCCTATACAGGGCAAGACATTAAATATGTATGAAGAAAGTTTGCTATTGTGTGTTCCAACTCTTGCCACATCTTTCTTTGTTCCTTCCCCACATTTCAGACACTTCTCTAGGACTCAGAGCAATCTTTCCTTTCATTTTTCACCGCACAGACCATCTCTGCCTTTAGAGAAAAGCTACGGTTCTTGAAGGCAACTGAGTTATCACAGAGCATCTCAAAATAATTTCAAAACTCTCATGGATTCACCATTACATATTAATTCCGATACAGAAAGTATTAACGTTTGATGTTATCAACATTGCTTAAAAATGAAAATGCTAAGGATGTGAATGCAGCTCGTGGAAATAACATATTAAAGCAGAGGACTTTGTTCAAGATATCAGACCTAAACACAGGCTTACCCATGTGTAAATGCCTCTCTTTGCCCCATATACCAACACAAATGATAGGAGAAACACAAAATGGCAATAAAGAGATGCCTTTTTCTAAGGAGGTAGAAGACTATCAAATAGCAATGTGAGTAACTCAGAGACAGTCATTAAAACAGTTTACTTTTCAACAACAGTTTCTAAGTAATGCGGAAATTCTCTCATGGTTTCATTTCTGACATTTTCTTACCTCAGACGAAATGCTTCCATTTTCGACATTCACCGAAATCTTAAAAATTTATGACTGGGGTTAGCATTGCGATCCTAAGTAATCGCATGGCAAATGGTATCAGCACAAAGGCTTAACTTCTTACCGTCAAATCCATCTTCCTCTGACCCCAGCTCATCATCTGAGCAGATGTTGAGGACATTTACCAGCATCTCAGTCACTGCAGGCGGACAGAGAAGGAAGGGAAGACAGAAGTCCAGTTACCACCCGACAGCTCTGTCATCACTCACTAGCAAATTGTGCAACAGCATGCCTTTTAGATAAGCCATTTCTTTGCTTCTATCCTTATCCACAGCATCTGGATCCATATCTGCCATTATCCATCATAAAAGGAAACTCGCTGTCTGCTTCCATGTAGGCTTTTGAAAATGAAATTATTATTTCATCTTTATGAAACCTCCTACTAATGCTTATTAAATATAGGTCAATAAAAAATGAGGGGAAAAAATCCAAACACTGGATGTGAGTATCCTGTAACTCAAAAGGGAGAAAAGAACTGTCTTGGCATTTTGTATTTATTTCCACAATGATGCTGCCCGATCTAGATTAGATTACAGACTTCTGTTCAGCAGGGACTGAGCGAATGCCAGATTCCTTTTGTTAATTTGTCTAATCCTCCATAGAATTCAGCTCCCAGATAGGTGAGTAGCTTTGCATTTAATAAAAACTGCTGATGGATGAGCTAATACATTTGAAGTAGATTTGGGAATATTGATCTTTAGAAATAAATATGTTGACAGAAATATCATTACATTTGATTTCTAAAAAGGCTCTGAGATACTTTGAGATGAACCAGAATTCAGCCAAGTAAACGGATGGTGCTACGTTTACGGAACAGTGTGCTCAGCTCCTTCCTAGCAATGTGCATGCTATCACATTTAATGTTTCTTGAAACGCGCTTGGGTTTTATCAAGCTGTTAATGAGAGGCCCGTGCATCATCAGAAGCTGTTTTTAAGGTTGCACAGCATTTCAAGAAATACTCTTTATGACGCATGATGAGTAATGCCGGCGGTGCCGACATTAACCTGGAGTTTAATTATCAAAGCTGAACTACGTTTTCCAATATATCATTGATTTCTTTTATAAAAAAATACAGTCAAAACTTGAATAGTGAACAGAAAGCAACCAGCTAAAGGGTGTTTCTCATGCCTGGTAGACGTCAGACTGCACATTGCTTCAGTATCCACAGCCAGCAACAGCTGAGCCTGTCTGCACACTGGGACTGCTCAGCGCAGGAACCCGGAGCATGGAGCCCCATGGGGGAAGGGGCACTGTTGCAAAGCACCTGTGATTTATTTGGGCATAGGGGAAAACTTCTCCCCCGACAACTCATTACTTGCCTTGTGGAATTATTATCAGGTATTTAAACTAAAAAATCCTTCAGAAGTCTTGTAGACTCCCCCAAAAAACATGTAGCTTTCCTCTAAAACTGCACCTGAATTCAGCACATGGGAACTTATCATCATACAGTGCCATGGCCTTCTGGACCACACGGGAAAATGCATGAGGAATTGTCCTTCAACATGTTGCAGGCACTAATCAGTGCCATACAATCATGAATATTCAGGAAAGGAGTACAAGGAAAGCATGCCTATCCTAATCTGTGGTAATAAAACATGGCTTTGGGACTATAGTACCAAAGAGTAAGAGGAAAGACTTGAGATCAGATAATACTTTATTTCTACTGCTTGAGAGACTGTTATTGATCAATTGGGACTGTGTACATACTCCAGACTCTCTGTTTGCCCTGAATCCACTCACTGCATTAGGTCACCAGGCACAGGGCATGCCATCACATCCTTCCTCTCATGGTACAGACTGTGAATGTTATTGGTTAGAAGACACCATTGGTCTCTGAACGTTCCTGGTAACACAGAACACAGCTCTCGTTTCTTCCCAAGATAGCTTATTAAGAACATCTCAGGACTTTCACAGCATACCTTTCTCCCCAACGAAGGGCAGCGACCAGGTGAAAACATCCATGAAATTTGGGAGCCAGTATGGATGGGGAGAGCAGTTGAACTGCCTGATGTTCATCACATTGTTCTCATACTTCAACACTGCAGCTAAAACAAAAAACAACACAAGAGGACATCAGCGTCAGAACACATCTCTGTTTCTACACATGGTTTTAGTGGATCAAGAAAGTTCAACTATTTGAATTAAGTTCCAAACCATGAGGACAGCTAGCCTCCTCAGCCCTGATTTTCGGATTTATGGACTTAAGCTTTACCCCTTGGAGGATGGTACTGTGTGTGCAATGTGTGAGCAGTAATTTGAAATGACATTAGCATTTGGAAAATATTTCTGTAATGTAGTTAAGCAATTATCAGGAATCAGATCAAGAGCCTCCTGTAGTCAGGAACATTCTAGTCTCACTACCTGATAATAAGAAAAAGGTGGCAATGCTAAGTTGGTCTGACATAATTTAGTAATCTCTGCAGATACTGGAATTAAATCTCTCTCTCTCAAACAAAAGCATACTTTCTTTCCCAAGCAGCAATCACAATAGTTACATTAATCAGCATAAATTATATCATATTTTTGATTAAATATGGTAAGATATTTGGATTTAATGCCATATAAAATAACACAGTATTGACTCTAGCCATGACTTCTGAAAGGGCTGTAGCAGCCAAGGCCTCCAGAAGCAAAGGTGCCTGCTTCTCTCTGTGGTACCTGCGTGGTATCTGTGAGCTAGCCAGACACAAGCACGACCACTCTTAGTTCTACCTAGATATGGAAATGCCACCCGTGCCAATCCTGGTCAATCCACACAGGGCAAGCAGGGCTCTGTGAGCACTTTCAGTGAAGGTGGAGCCATGTATTCAGTGGAGACCCCTAGCTTATGGCTTGACAACAGTAACCTATGGGACAGACTCAGGTCGGGTTAAATTTTCACCTGCTTTTTCTATTCACTTACTGTTGCTACCTGAAAAGACACAGAACAAATATAATTTCCCCTAAATGACATCCCTTTAATGATGAAGCCCTCTCATTTTCAACCTTCCTGAACTATACAAGATTTCGTTTTTATTATCTTTCTTCACCATGGTAAGTATTGCATGGATGGTGTGTAATGAGAAGATCTGGAATAACGTAAATGGGCTATTTACACTGACTGGTCGAATACACAGAGAGTTGCTTTATTACTTTGCATTTTTAAGCTGACCTTTATATGAGGAATATGTTCTAGCTTGTGATTGCCGATAACAGAACAAAAGTCTTTAAAGCTCTATTATTAAATGCCTTCATTGGGTTTGAGCTTTCATGGCAATGCAAGTCTCTTATACAATGCTGTCTCTAACATAACAATGTTTTCAACACTGAAGTCTCATCTGAAATGTTTTCTGTCTTGTATTTCTAAGAAATCCAAGCCCTATCCATAGGTCTTCGAAGCCCAAACACTTATCCTCTCAGTGGAGCCCTTCTTGGTTCCCTTTAATGGACAGATCATGTCTCTTGCTTGATTTCTAAAAGCTCTCACTTACATACAGATGGCACAGTTGTCAGGGAACTTTGATCAGGGTCAGTCTACATATATGTACCTGCCTGATTCTCCATCTTCCCCCCTGTAAGGAACAGGTACCCTAAAATAGGCTCGAGGTTTTCATGTCTACTGTAGCATTTTACTCAGATTTGATCTGAGAGGCTGAAACAAATCCTGCCATTCTTTCTACAATATTCATTCAAGCAAGGGGCCCTCATCCCTTTGGTCTCCTTTACATAAGACTTCTTGTTACTTCTCAGCCTGTCCCGGATCTGGATGAATGCCACATAGCCAATGTCTCTGAAAGTATGACTCAGGACTACCAGAATATTTTCTGTAGGCTTTATTAGTGTCTATGTCCAGGAAAGACACATCTTTTTATGTTATGATTTGTCTACTGTAAGCATTAGGCTGCATTCTAAGTATGCTGATGTTTTTAGCAACTTGCAGTTAGCTCATGTTTGTGTGCTGGGAGGCTTTTGCTTTGAATTATAGACCTAGTTGACTAATATGGCTACAGAAAACATAGAATCAGGCACTTCGGGAACACAGATGGTACAGTTAGCACAGATAGGAAGGGAGCTGGAGTTCTCTTCTTCTGAGAAAATACTGACTCTTGCATATATTTTTGGAAATGGTCTTTTGCATTGTTCTATTATTTAAGCAACATGCCCTTTGGCAAAAACAAAACAACAAACATAAAAACACCTTGACAAATTACCACAGCAGCACTTCTGGTCTTCAGGACACAGTATTTCTAGTGTCTGATATTATTATCTTAGCACAAGATTCCTGCCAAGGTTGTTTTTTTTTTTTTTTAACAATTTGTTACCATTCAATTTGTATTTTTATCTTCAAAAGAATCTTTTAGGGCTCAAAGCTGTCTTTTTTTTTTTTTTTTGTAATTGTTCCTCACCCTCTCCCCCAATTTTTTGTTAATACCAGGTGGTGGTTTAGCAGGAGAAAAGAAAGAATGGGTAGCTGGCCCTCACTATCCATGGATTCCGTATGCATGGATTCCACCAAGCCTGCATGCAAAATTCTGATTAAAAGCCAGATCAATGTCCACACTGAACATGCACAGACTTCCTCCTCCTGCCACCAGCCCCTAAACATTTCAGCACAGCAACTTTTCACAGAGCATTGCCATTGTGTTTCATATCATGAATGACGTGGATGATGTGACATAAAGGATGATGCCCGTCGGTTAAGTACATATTGTACCACTTTATGTAAGGCTCTTGAACATCTGTGGATGGTGGGATTCACAGAAGGTCTTGGGCTCAATTCCTAGTTGCCACCCGGGAATAACTACATTGTGATTAACACCGCCCTGGATGGAGAACAGGGAGAAGCTTTATGAAATATTTTACTAGATCCTCTAAAAAAATCTGAGAAGCTGTGTGTGTGTGTGTGTGTGTGTGTGTGTGTGTGTGTGTGTGTGTGTGTGTACACACTCACACACGCCCTTATCTGCAGACAGAGCAACTGCAATGGGGAAATGGGGAAACTTGCTCAGATTATGCAACCAGCAACAGACACATCTCACCCCCTTTCTACTCAGCTTTTCCTGACACTAAACCCATTCCTTTCCTCTATTCCCTGCTGTCCTTCATAAATTATACATGCACGGATGCTAGTCCTAGCTGTGGTACTAATTTAACTTTGGATGTGGTATTCATATTTAAAGATGGTTCAACTTTTGCCAAAGTACATACCTAAGTGAGATGAGATGCAAATTCCTAATCAAAGGTTGCCCTGTCAGTGAATTAAAGAGAAGTGTGTTCTGTAGAGCAGTGAGGTAAAAGCAGCTTATTTATTTCGTTGTCGGCTCACCACAGCTTACTTCAGTACCTCCTGCAAAAGCTAATACTTGTTATTTTGTTTATTAATGATGGGAATGATCCATTTCAACAGGAGATACACTTAGTGTCCAGGCATGGCAGGGCACTCAGCTCGGACCGTTATACATATAATCATAAATCACAATGTTTTACTAAAGTGTTCTCAACATTTCTCTTTGAGAACAAGTAGAGAGGTGAAGTAAGCTACTCGTCCACACTTTCAAAGCAGTAAATGTCAACTCTGGCCTAAATACACATCATCTATATACATATACAGAGTTACCATAACAACACAAAGCATTCCATGCCTATCAAGGTTTGGACAGACTCTTTTTCCTTCGGCATTACTCTCTCTAAAGATGAGCACAAGTCTGGAAGGCCAAGCACCTAGACAGCTAGCATATTCTGTCACTAATTACTTAGGACATCCAGGGCCACTTAATGTCTCTAGGTTAAGTCTCCGTTTCCTGACCTAAACATGTGGGTTTAGCTAGAAGATTTATATGAGCTCTTTCCCATATAAGTGGCGTTAACAAACTTTCAGAAGAAAAACCTCATGATTAATACAACGACTGATCAGTGTTCTCAGGAATTCTATAGGCTACTATTGTTGGGCTTTTCCTTATTCTCTGGCTAAAAACAATGAATCTTTAACTTAAAATGCAGAACCTCAGTAGGTATTCTTTTCTCCAGTGACAAGACATATTTGTGAAAGAACCCTTTGAACAACCTCACATTCATAAGCTACTCATAAATTTTGGTATTTTTGCGCAATAATTATATATTATCATAATACATAAAATGAAGTCAAATTAGTCTGAAACATCTACATTCACAAAATTCAGTTAACATTTCATCTCCCACCTCCCACATCTTCCTTCCCTGACACCTGCCCCCCGCCTGTCACTGGTTACAAAACGTAACTGGAGTCCTAACAGTGTACTTTCCTCTGAAATGTCTGTGGGACAAGCATTCCTAGTGCAGTGAACAAAATACAGATGACTGTATTTGCACAAATACTGGAGACATTAAGAATTTGAGGGTGGTGGTGGTGCACACCTTTAATCCCAGCACTTGGGAGGCAGAGGCACACGGATCTCTGTGAGTTTGAGGCCAGCCTGGGCTACCAAGTGATTTCTAGGAAAGGTGCAAAGCTACACAGAGAAGCCCTGTCTCAAAAACAAACAAACAAACAAACAAAAAAACAAAAAACAAAAACAAAAACAAAAAAGAATTTGAGGCGAAACAAAGAAACAACAAAACAAAACGAAAAGCAAGCGTCCTGTCTACCAGCCACCGTCAATTTCCCAAGACTTCACATCACTTGTTGCGGAGGGATGAAGAGACACTGTGACACATTTGTGGGCCTTAAGTTATTCCCCGCGACTTACAGCAGACCAGACAGCACAGAAACAAATGGTTCTCTCTTGTAGCTGCAGGTGTGAAAATCTGCCAGAAGAGACTGTGATGCAATGCAAAGACTACTAATCCTACACATTTGGAGGCTGCCCTGCTCATTCTTCTTGTGATGTCAGAATAAATCACTTTAGAGTTATGCAATTACTTGGTCCTGTCATTTGTATTGTACCTGCAGAACTACATCTTTAAAGGCATGTTTTTGAATATTTAAAACCAGCAGCCAAGGGCTCAGTATTGTTTGCGAAATGGATACTGGGTTTTATTTATTGATTGCAATTCTGGTATATAAGTCAAGGACTCTTCTTTTGAGCTC